AGATCCTGAGCCAGCCCCCAAACCCCACCGGGTTACGATGCCCCTAAACCCTAAACGCTAAAGCCTAAACCTCACACCGTATCCTTGCACCGCGCTGAGTAGTTATGTTCCATTCCGGCTTCGGCCAGGTTTAAGATTGAACACCAAACTTCCCCAACTCTTAAGCTAGGGTTTATGCTTTAGGAGGCTTCAGGGTTTAGGGCTTATATAGGATTTAGGGTGTAGGGTTTAGGGGTTTAGGGTTTCAGGGTCCAGGATTCGGCTTTCATGTGCGCAGCGGAATGTATGGTTCATCTGCCCAGGTCTCTCCGGTTGGAAAATGTCGAAATCATCGTCAGAGGCCTTAAGGCAACCGTAAACACTCAACCGTTATATGCCTTTGTAGAACCCTTAAAAAGACCCTCATAGAACGCCCTAAACCCTGAAAACCCAAACCCAAAACCCCTTACAGGCACCATAAACTCTACACCCCCTAAACCGTAAATCTCCCAAACCCTAGGGTTTAGGGTTTAGGGAGTTTAGGAATCCCCCCCCCCCCCGAACCCTAGGCCCTAAACCTTAAACCTAATCTTCTTTGCTGACTTCTCAGCCCCTCCAAAAGTTAAACCTGTAGCCTACATACTTCATAGGAAACGATTTAGGGTTTAGGGTTTAGGAAAACCCAAAAAAATAGTCTCCTGAGAGCCAACCAGAAGAACCCCCTAAACTCTAAACCCTAAATCCCCCCAAATACCCTAAACCTCAAAACCTAACTCTTCATGGCCTACTAACCCCTGTAAACCCTAAACACGCCAAACCCTAAACCCTAAACCCTGAACCCTAAACCGCCTGAAACCTACTCTTCATGGCCTGGAAGGCATCCAGCCATGTCAGCAAAGCAATCGACTGGATGCTGTCCGGCGGAATCGTGCGGAGGAAGTAAGGATAGCTCTCCTGCGTTTAGGATTTTGGGCATTTTGGGTAAAAATAGGGTCCCTCTAAGGATTCCTTAAAATAGGTAGTATTCTTAGGGGTACCCCCTAAACCTAACTCCCATATAGGAACCTTTAAGGGAACCCTTGAATCCCTAAACCCCAAACCC